TATAAAACGTATAAAATGCAATTATAAAAATGATTCCTATAACATTCATGAAATGCCAAAATTAAACTGATGGAAAACAGGTCAAGTGTTTGCTAGAGGTAGGTTTAGATAGAGGATATGAGCCTAAAAAACATTAGCACGGGGGAGTCTGCAGATTAAGCAATTTTCCATCATGGTTGTGGTTATGTGGCTCTATTTAAGGTAATAAAGCTTAGAATTACAAACTTAAAAAAAAAACATGTAAAGTCTAATAGAATCCAAATAAGGTTAAGAGTTTCATTAACAGTATACTGCCAATGTCATTTTTCTGGATTCAATAAAAAATGGTTTTATCAGATGTTTTTACTGGGAGTAGCTGGGTAAAGAATACTAGGAAAGTCTATAGACTGTTTTGCAATTTCTTGTAAGTTAAAATAATTTCATATTAAACATTTTATAAAAATAACTTTGAAGGTGGTTTTATAAAATATTTGGCCATACTTATAAAATTGACTGGGTAAGTAAAAATATGTTATATTTATAAATTTAAAATGTTTTCTTTTAAACTATTTCTGTATGGTAAATTTACAATTAAATTTCAAGCCAAAGAAAGGTGAGAGCTAATCGTATGAGGTCATAGAACACTCCTTTGTTACATTTAACAGTAAAAATAAATTAGGAGTGAGGAAAGCACACTAGTTTTTATCAGGTGAATTATCTAATGTAAAATGAAATAAAGTTAGACTTGTAACAGAACACTCAGCCCAGCTGATGTTGCTCAGTGGTTGAGTGCTGAACTATGAACCAGGTCATGGTTCGATTCCCATTGTTGTGCCGTCTCGATTCCAGGTAGGGGGCGTGCAGGAGGCAGCTGATCAATGATTCTCTCTCATTATTGATGTTTCTCTCTCTCTCCCCCCGTCCCTTCCTCTCTGAAATCAATGAAAAATATATTTAAAAGAAACGGAGTATGCTGAAGTTTGAGGACCATTGGTACAGATTCAAAATAAACACCACCACCACGACCAGTGGTGTAGCACAGTTTGGTCTTTAAAAAACAAAAACAAAAACCCACTCAAACATTATCCCTTTTCATAGAACTTCTTTCCTTTGTAAGTCCTCTGATATTTGACTAAAAGTGCTCTAAATTTAGCATGTTCATAAAGCCTTAACTTCTATATGATTTTCAAACAATGGGTTAGAATGCATCAGTGAAATTGTCAAATATAATGCAGTTCTCTTAAAGTTTGTGTCCAGTGTGAACTGTGACTCTCACTGAGGTCTTTTTTCTGGGGAGAGACTTTCCCATGGTTACCACATTTCTTTGTTTTTTATTGTTTGTTTTTATACTTCTACAAACAATGAACACACCGATGATCTATGACAATCCCTGATAATAAAGTCTATCTTCCCACTGAAAGCTTTCCTTGTCTCTCTATATACACAGAATTTGTCTCAATATGCACTTTTCATACGTATATTGAAGCCAGAAAGTTTTGTGGAGGCATATAATGAAGCTGGAAAGGCATCTTCACATTGGACGTATCAGAGTTTTTCCAACATGTTTTCACTGACAGAAAATGTGAGGTAAGGATCACTCAAGGCACTGCCACAGTCACTGTCCTCACCAAGTTAATCTCCCGGGGAAATTCCTTAATCTCCTCAGGGCACACGTTTGACAACAGGCATTACATGTTTGCATTCTCATCTGCTAGAAACACTGATGTTTAATGAGGTCCTGGTTGTCCCAGAAGGCATTCCACAGAAATTGCATTAATAGGTGTGTTGTTCTGCATGACTTCACTCACAGGTAATGACCGTGACTCTCCATTAAAAGAATTTTCAGCTTGAGTGAATCTACCCATTTCTCGGGTGTGCGTTTTCTGATGTTTAACAAGGTGTGACAATTGGGAGAAGGCTTTCTCACAAATGCTGCACTCATAGGGCCTCTCTCCTGTGTGAGTTCTTTGGTGGACGTTGAGGACTGACTTTGTGGCGAAGGCTTTCCCACATGCCTTGCACTCATAAGGCTTCTCTCCTGTGTGACTTCTCTGATGGGTAATGAGACCGTATTTGTGAGAGTATTGTTTTCCACACTCACTACATACAAAGGGCGTCTTTCCCGTATGACATCGCTCATGTTGTCTGAGGCTTATCTTCTGGCTGAAGGCCTTCCCACACTCCTTGCATTCGTAGGGTTTTTCTCCTGTGTGAGTTCGCTGATGTATAATGAGGGTGCACTTAGTGGTGAAGCCTTTTCCACATTCCTCACATATGTACAATTTCTCTCCTGTATGAGTTCGCTGGTGTATAGTGAGCTTGCGCTTCACAGTGAAGCCTTTTCCACACTCACTGCATATATAAGATTTTTCCCCTGTATGAGATCTTTGGTGGACAATGAGATTACTCTTCACAGTGAAGTCTCTTCCACATTCATCACATACATAGGGTTTCTCTCCAGTGTGTGTGCGCTGATGTACAACAAGATAGTGCTGCATGGTGAAGCCTTTCCCGCACTCACTGCATACATAGGGTTTCTCCCCTGTGTGAGTTCGCTGATGCACAATTAGATTGCTCTTCACAGTGAAGCCTTTCCCACATTCGTTGCAAACATAAGGCTTCTCTCCACTATGTGTTCGCTGATGTGCCATCAGGTAGCGCTTCACGGTGAACCCTTTCCCGCAGTCGCTGCATATATAGGATTTCTCTCCTGAATGGGTTTGCTGATGTCTGGTGACACCAGTGTTCACAGGAGAGCCCTTTCTGTATTCGTTGGTTATAGAGAATTTGTCTTGTGTTTGAGTTTTCTGATGTTGAGTGAGAATGACATTTCTGGAGGATTTCCATGAATCACACCCATGGCTTTTCTCCCCTGTTTCAGTGCCCCCATGGTTAATGAGCTGAGGTGTCCTGATGCAGGCTTTCTCACCTTGGATGCATGCTTGGGATTTCTCTACTTTATGAGTCTTCTGATACTTAGAGACTTGTAATTCAGTGCTGATGTGTTTTTCACTTTTAGGGATTTCTGTTCCAGTGTACAACTGTTCATGATTATCATATAGAAAGGATTTCTCATCTCCATTAAACTCAACGGGGTTCTTTACTTCATATCTTTGCTTCTGGTTAATTAAACTTGATTTCAAAGCGTTCCTACATAATTCCAACATATGATTACGTATTATGGCTATATTGGTTCTGCTCAGATGAAAAGTATTTCTAAGTGCATTCCTTTCATGGCATTGTTGGATGCTCTTCAGAACTATTTGGTTGTGAGAGTGCTCTTGCAGACAACTGTCAACTTTCCTGATTCCTAGTAGAGAGAGAATAACAAATTTCTTAGAATAAAAGTGCTTAGCCCTGGGCCAGTGCTTCTCAGGGGTTAGATTCAGCCTGTGCACCGAAGGGTTGCAGGTTCGATTCCCAGTCAAGGGCTGGTGCTCACAGCCACAAGATGGCCAGCAGGGGAGGGCATTTGGGGGTGATCCCTCAGGGGAGGGCAGTTAGGGGCAATCGGGCTGGTAGGGGAGTGGTTAGGGGGTGATCAGGCTGGCAGGCAGGCAGTTCCCTTCCTCCACTCTCTATACATCATGGAAAAAATATCCTTAGGTGAGCATTAACAAAAACAAACAAACAAAAGAATAAAAGTGCTTAAAAGATGATGTGGTGGGGACTGGCTCTTCATTGTCGACCATCCTGTCCCATAAAGATGTTAAGGTGAAGAAGTATCAGATCCAAGAAGAAAAAAGGAGTATGTTTAAAGCAAAACAACCACAAAGAGAAAGAGTTCCTATCTCGGGAGATCCCAATGTGGAGGAGCTATTTAGCTATCCTCAGACACCCTCAGAGCTGTGAGCCCTTCTCTTTGTTTTTCTTTTTAAAAAATATATATTTTTATTGTTTTCAGAGAGGAATGGGGAGGGAGAGAGATAGAAACATCAATGATGAGAGAAAATCATTGATTGGCTGCCTCCTACACGCCCCACACTGAGGATCAAGCCCGCAACCTGGGCATATGCCCTGACCGGGAATCGAACGTGACCTCCTTGTTCAAAGGTCGACAAGCAACCACTGAGCCTTGCTGGCTGGGCAAGCCCTTTTCCTACAGTGGTTCTCAACCTTCCTAATGCTGTGACCCTTTAATACAGTTCCTCATATTGTGGTGACCCCAACCATAAAATTAATTTCGTTGCTACTTCATCACTGTAATTTTGCTACTGTTATGAACTGTAATGTAAATATCTGATATGCAGGATGTATTTTCATTGTTCGCGACCCACAGGTTGAGAACCGCTGGACTAGACTATGACTTCCAGGGCCACTGCCTAGCTGGTCTTCACTCACTCACCCGGACAGCTTCCAGTACAGATTTCATCCTCTCTTCGTGGTTCTTTTCCATGTTCCGACTCGGACAGAGCATCCGGTTTGGCAGTGTGATACCCTGACCAGGAGAAATGACACAAGACATAGATACAGTGACTTGGATATGGCATAGTATGTGAAGATGGGAAATATTACAATTTCTCACAAGCGAAGTAAAAGTTCTCTTTCAGGATAGAGGAGATTATACCCCTTTGTTTGGGGCCAGAGGGAAGATTGGAAATCTGCTGACTCTTCACAGGACCACGGTGACTACAAAGCTTTCATCAAGTACTAGAGCAGTGGTTCTCAACCTTCCTAACGCTGCGACCCTTTAATACAGTTTCTCATGTTGTGGTGACCCCCAAACATAAAATTATTTTTGTTGCTACTTCATCACTGTAATTTTGCTACTGTTATGAATCGTCATGTAAATATCTGATATGCAGGATGTCTTTTCATTGTGATAAGTTGAACATAATTAAAGTATAGTGATTAATCACAAAAACAATATGTAATTATATATGTGTTTTCCGATGGTCTTAGGTGGTCCCTGTGACAGGGTCGTTCGACCCCCAAAGGGGTCACGACCCACAGGTTGAGAACCGCTGTGCTAGAGTAAAGGCCAGTGACAGGGCACCTCTACGTGACGCAGGGAGCTGTACTTACCCAGTGAAACCAGATTGTTATAGTTCTCCAACATCACGTCCCAATACAGTTCTTTCTGAGCAGGGTCCAGCAGCTGCCACTCCTCCCAACTGAACTCCACAGCCACATCCTCCAGTGTCAGCAATTCCTGTAATAACACGGTCCTGTTTACTGTGGTATCCACTCCCTTTACTAACATGGAAAATGCATGAGGACAGATGTTCTAGTTTCTACCACATAGCCTGCATCTATATACTTTTCTCAACTATATTTTAGCAAAAACAAAACCCTATCTTTCTCTTTATATATGTAGTTTAGCACGTATTTCCAAAAGAGTATAGCATCAACAAATGTTATGTATGCCTACTTATAGTTTCTAAAAGAGAAGAGTAATGTAGAAGCAGTATTCAAACATCTAAAAGCTGTTTAATTTCAGTACTGATTAAACGTTCAACAAGCAGTGATTGAGTATCAGCCCACAAACCAGGGGGGGCATGCAGAAGGCAGCCAATCAATGATTCTCTCTCATCATTGATGTTTCTATCTCTCCCCCTTCCTCTCTGAAAAAAAATAAAAATATATTTTTAAAAAATAAATAAAAAACAGAAATTATACATGGTATGTCTAAAGCCAAATAGACCATTAAAGTTGATTAGGATGATTTTAGGGGGAAAAACTTATAATAAAAAAACATACACACACATATATATACACTAATGGACAGATGAATAGTATATTCAGTACACTGTAGTGACCCAGAATATATAACTGAAGAAATAACAGAAAATGCAGCAGAAGGAGAAGAGAAAACATAAGGAAGAGGTTATTAAATATGAGCATAGCCTAGCTGATGGGTGTCGACCAATGAACTAGGAGGTCATGGTTCAATTCCCAGTCAGGGCACATGCCTGGGTTGCAGGCTGGATCCCCAGTAGGCGGTGTGCAGGAGGTAG